TACTGACCCTCATGTATGTCTCAAGTCCATATGATTACAGGAAAACTCACTTACCTGGATTGAGAATTCCTATGGCATTACTTTGCAGCTGATATTTCCAAAGACAGGTGACATGTTATTATAGGCAGAGTTACTTGGCTCCCTCCTATGGTCTAGGTCATTTTCTACACTTTCCAGGTATGTATTATTTGCAAGTCACAAAGCTTAGTCTTCTGATACTCTCTTATTTAATTTTCACCATTCTTGATGCATCTCCAACACATCACTTTTTACATTCTTTTACACATCTGCCTTTCTTTTTATTTATTTATTTATTTATTTATTTATTTATTTTTTGCGGTACGCGGGTCTCTCACTACTGTGGCCTCTCCCGTTGTGGAGCACAGGCTCCGGACGCGCAGGCTCAGCGGCCATGGCTCACGGGCCCAGCCACTCCGCGGCATGTGGGATCTTCCGGACCGGGGCACGAACCCGTGTCCCCTGCATCGGCAGGCAGACTCTCAACCACTGTGCCACCAGGGAAGCCCCCTACATCTGCCTTTCTTACTATACTCTGAGTTCCACAAAGGCGGGGACCGTATCTTATTCATCTTTATCTCTTTAGTACTTGGATTACTGCCTAGCATGTAGTAGGCAACCAACAAATTTTTGATAAATATAGAAAGTTTATTTGGATGGTGGAACAGTGGAGATGTTTTTGAACAAAGGCAGAACTAATTAAACAAAACCAAATATTTGAATTAAGGAAGTCTTTAAGTCAAATCTTGGCTTAATTATTCAGCTCAACAATTGTGTTCCAGCCAGTCTTATTTCTGGCCAGTAATATCTCAATAAGACTGTGAAAAGGATAAGAGGTGATACTTGTACTAGGTACTCTGCATTTCGTGCTGGAAATCCCCATGATTAAACTAAACTTAAAAAAAAAAATCACCAAAATTAAACTAAAAAAATACTAGTTTTCAGTTTTATGTATATATTTGTTGAGGAGACATTCACTGGGCACTAATGTCTATGCGAAAGCCTACACAGCTTATATTTAGTTCTCATTTTTAAAATAAACTTTCGAGTTGCTAAAAATATTTTAGTATACAGTGATACTTAAGAGATTCTTTTTTATAGAGTCAAATATTTAAAGAAAGGAATCAAGTGAAATATATCCTATGGATTATTTTCTCCCACTACATTTAAAAATCTGACTTAAAGCAGTGACTCAAGTGCTGAGCGCCCCACAAATAGATGGCATTTTATTCTTATAAATGATGGTTAAAGGAGTTATTTAGTATGAATTGGGATAGAAGACTGAGCAGGAAATTTGAGAAAAAACTGCTGGAGAAAGGAAGAAAATTCACGTTCAGGTTGCAATTATATCTAATGCTGATTAACTCACTCATTATGCTTTAATGTAAAAGGGTGACAATCTCAACAACAAAGACTGCCAAGGCTGAGATGGTCTTTTGTGAGAAGCACAGTTCTATGGTATCACAGACTTGGTTCTGTGGCTGAAAATTAACAGTCTACAATGCTTTGCTGATCCTCAGAAATTCTTTGAAGAGCTGAAAACTTTTTAAATAAATTATATTTATTTTTATTTGGAAAATACTTTTCTTCATCTATTTTATAATGTATTGATATTTTAAATATCATAAGTTTATTATCAAAGTTGTTTATTAGATCCACAATATCTGCAGGTTTAAGACAGAAACTTGAGAGGATCTTCTGAGAAGGAGTTAAACTGACAATGTCTAGACTGTCGGTAAGTGAACTTTCTCTATGTACATTCATGAAGTACAGCATCATTTTAACTTTGAGACCTTGAGTAAACCCTAAGCTTACAATGTCCTGGTTTTCTCTTTTGTAAAATGGTAGTAATAATAAATAGTATCTATCTCATATGATGGTAATGAGGATTACATAAATGACTCTGGTGCAATCACAAAAATCTACTGAGCACCTACTAAGCACTGAGGATACAGCAGTGAACAAAGCACTCCCACTCCCCCTTAATAGGTAATGAACTTAGCATAGTACTTAAAACACTGTAAATACTCAACTAATTATAGCTATTGTTATCTTGGTAATGTCAGATATAGCCCACAGAATGGGACTGTATGTGCAAGATAAATGTGTATAGACAGTTTAAGATTCTTGGTTTATTTAAAAGCTATCAGCAAGAGGAGAGAGTCTGTGGTAGATTCAAAATTGGGATTCTTTACATACTTCAGATTCTCTTCCTTTGGGAGGTACCAGTGATCCAGGTAGACTTTAGTAGGTCTTGAGTCATCTGTCTATCCTTTACACTGCAAAACTCTGGAATTTCACCCAAATACCATAGTAGTTAACAAATAAAGAGCTTTCCAAGCTGAGTTCAGGAGTCATTATAGCAAGAATGTGAGTATGACTCATGAGTTTTCATTACTAATTCTCTTTGCACATTTAACTGGTACTCTGGCATTACAGAGATTCTGGTGTGGCTATAGGGATGTGTAAAGCAAAAATGGAAGTTTCTTGATCTCCTTAATTTATAAGAGGTTAGGGCATCTATAGTTACCCAGGGCTTCATAAATCCCAGTAGGTGAGAAGATGAAAATGACAAAGAAGGGTGGAGAACAGTATTGTCAGAGGGTTTTAGCTTTAAACGAGTCAAGGATACCTACACAAAGAGGGAGGAGAAATGATTTAGAAGCAGTCATGGCAGGTGAGACAGAGGCTGATCCTAATCAACCTAATTTAGAGGTATGTGGGTCAAGAGAGAATGAGCAGCAAGCATTTGAGAAGGTTGCAAGGGAAACAATATTTTCTGTGGAGGACCAGGTTTCAAGACAGATTTAAAGCATGTGTGGGAATAGCTGAATAGTCCCAGCAACCAGGGGCCAGAATGAAACTGCTCCCAAGTGACTCCTCATGAAGACCTTCTGGGATGGTGGAAGGACTTCAAGTTTCTTCAGAAGGAGTCAGTGGAGCCCAGGTTGGATTGGGCTCCAAGGGAATTCTATATCAAGTGGGCAGGCTGAGAAAAGATCAATTCATGTCCAGAACTTTCATCATGTAATTAAAAAAAACCCCAAAAAAACCCAATGGTAGGTCTTGGTAGATTTAGGAGAAAGGGTGATGCCTTCTCTGAAGTCAGCCACAGTCTAACCCTATCTTAAAAACTTATATTCACTGGGGTTATTAATCCTCAAGGCCATTTTAAATAAAGAGTTTAACATACATTAGAGGCCAAAATTAAGAAGTTAAGCAGAATGAGCTATAGATTTAATTCACAGCTAATTATATAACCTTTTACAAACCATTCTTAACTGTTCTGTACTATAGTTTCTTATTTCAAAAAAACTGCTCATGACAATGACTGAGCCTCTTCTGTTATCACACGCAAATTAGACCATACCTATAAGAGTCCTTTGGAAGAAAGAAGTTAAAAAATATGCTTTTAAACCTAACGTCCAAACTAGAAAACCTTTCTAAGAAATTATAATTGACAACTCAATGCAGAGAACAACAGAATAAAACTAAGACAACTTAGAATTTACTATTTTTAAAACTTAGTAAATATTGAAATATAAGTTTAAACTACTTTGGAATGAAATGACAACTTCTATCTCTATAACTTGTCTTAAGACTCATATTCAACCTCACTAGGGGCCTAAGAAATATAAATTAAAACAGTAAGATATCATTTTCTCCTTATCTGATGGGACAAAAATTTTAAAGATTGATTACAGCTAGGGTTCAGAGTACTCTTAAACACTGCTAGCAAGTGGATACACTGGTGCAATCTTTTAGAACAATCTGACAATATTTATCCAGAGATAAATGTACATATCCTTTAATTACACAATTCCATTTAGAATATGACTTACCAAAATACTCTTACATGTATGCAGATATATAAAAAGGTGTTTACAGCAGCAATGTTTGCTTAAAAAAAAAATGAGTAACAGTATAAATCTAAATGTATTGGTAGAGAAATGGCTGGGTAAATTGGTAAAAATGGAATAAAAGTTAGCCATGAGAAAGGTAGTCTTTATGAGCTGACAGAGACACATTCATAAAGAATTAAGTGGAAAAAAAATTAACTTATAGGACAGTGATCCTACTTTGATTTGTTTATAAAGATCCTTTAAAAACTACAATCAATAATTCTTTTATTATTTACACAAGAAACACATATACCAAATATTCATATTCTAGTTTGTCTTAATCTGAAATTCATCCCAACAGAAAGTCATATTAATTTTTTAAGCAAAAGGCTCTAGGTACAATTCAATATAAGGAAAATTTTAAAAATATTTGTGCTTTGTATCATGTCTTTGGGAAGCACAAATTAAAGGGAAAAAATTCTTAATTTTTTTTTAGATACTGACTTCTATAAGCCCTTCTGGTTGAAATTGTGACTAAAATCCCACAGACATTTATAATATGATGCAAAATGACGTCTAAAATAACAATGTGCTAAAATTTAACATGCTACAAGTAACTGAAATGTCTTCTAAGTTACTTTTGTCTTCTTAAATCTAAAGAAAGATCTAAGATAAGCATATTTAAAGTATTGGTGGCTTGTCCTTCTTGCATGAGAATATTATACCACCAAGAGCCACCAATAAGCAGCATCAAGGCAGGCTTCATATAGACCTTTGTATACAACTGTTAAGTGTTTATATATATATTTTCATCTACTATGAATGAATAGGTACACAAATTTTACATGTTATTTATTACATACCTCTTTAATTACAACCTGTACTTTGGCAAGCACATTAAGCCAAAGAAGCCAGCACAGGTTTACAAGATTTATTGATGCTGCCTCCTGATGAACCCATTCAGTAGGATCCCTATCCTGAGATATTAGAGCACTGATTTACATGATCAGTGGCCAAAGGGACATGACTATCATTATACACAGTGCATAGTAAACATGCTTTTAAGTAGGCTGGCAGATGGTTACAGATTGGCACAATGCCCCCAAAGTCCGACAAATTAGTTACATGCAGGATACTCACATCAGCATAGTGGCCTATCATATCACATCTGTCACACCGTTTTCTCCAGGAAGGTCTTTCAAGACATCTGTGAGTAGAAGACATAGGCAAAGAACAGTCTAAGCAAAAGCGGGCCGGACAGGCATACTGGAGGTGTCCTCTCTCGGAGCAGAGGCAACAGGAGCGGACTTTCTATGTGGCAGACAAACAGAAAATCTCTTTAGCAAAATACTTCAGTCTCAAATAGAATGCTACTGTTTCTTTTTCAGTATAATTCCATAAAAAGTTATTTCCAATTTGGGAACACAATGAAGGTCTTGAGCATAATTATAAAATCAAACAAAATGTCTGAAATCAGAGCTTTAACAAAACCATCTGTATCCTGTTGGTTGCCAAAAAGGCTTAGTCTGCATGTACTATCATCTGGCATCTATTTCTTATGCCTCGTCTTGTAGAACACTGACAAAGTGGAATGTGTCTGAGAGGGAAAGTAGGATGATGAGGATCTGGAAGCTAGGTCATAGGAGCAACAGATACAGAAAGAGGCTGCTTTGCCAGGCAAAGACAAAGAGGAAACAAGAGAGCCATCTCAAATATTTGAAAGGTAATCATTTGGGAGAGGAAGTTGGTAAGGGAAGGAATATTTGTTAAGGGCTTACTAGTGTCAAGAAATGTCTAAGGGGCTTCCCTGGTGGCGCAGTGGTTGAGAGTCCGCCTGCCGATGCGGGGGACACGGGTTCGTGCCCGGGTCCGGGAAGATCCCACATGCCGCGGAGCGGCTGGGCCCGTGAGCCATGGCCGCTGAGCCTGCGCGTCCGGAGCCCGTGCTCCGCAGCGGCAGAGGCCGCAGCAGTGAGAGGCCCGCGTACCGCAAAAAAAAAAAAAAAGAAAAAGAAATGTCTAAGAGTTCTGTGTTATTTCAAAGATTGATGTATCTGTTTAACATAATTTACATCAATAAACATTTATAAATGCCTAAAATTATAATTTTCTAACAATGAAAATTATCCCACAATGAAACAAGCCGTGTCATAAAGTAGAACGTTTAGAAGTGAAATGAGTCTCAGGAATCAATCTGATTCAATCTTCTCATTTTATAGAAAAGAAAAGAGAAGCACAAAAGGTGAAATGATTTGCCTAAGGTTGTACAACTACTAATGGGATGCTGAAATTGATTCTGGCTGTAGATTTATTGTTCTTTACTACTACTCTAGGCTGCGACCTACATAAACATGTAATATGAAATTTAACACATATATTATATAACATTTGAATTGTAAGGTTATAAGGGTTCCAACCCTATGATTTTGATTTTAACAATGTGGAAAGACACATTACATATTTCACATACTTGTGGAAAGGGGCAGTTTTTTGACAAATGGCCACATTTGTCACAATTTCTACAGGTAACGTTTTTGTTGACTGAATAGTATCGGTGGGTCCATCTTCCAGATGTTCTTTTTTTACCTATCTGTGCCTAAGGGAAAAAAAAGATCAAGAATTAAAATTATTTCACTCTGTTCAAGAGAATTACCAGTCAAAATCTGTTCAATTTAGAACTTAGAAACAGGGAACTTTGTATTCTTAAAAGGAGTTAGAAAAACTTAAAAGGGGTGCCATGAAAACAGCTCTACTTTTTGTCTGCCCATCTCCCCTATTCTTTTACACTTCTCCATATGGTTCCATTTCTTTTTTATCTTTCTCTACTTACGGTTCAGGTCTAGTAGGGGCACTGAAATGCATCATTTAGACATTCCAGTGGCATTCAGAGTCAAAGATATTGCTGACATATATCTGGATATATACCATATTTTTCTGAATGAGAAACTTGCTTAAATTTTTAGTTAGGGGTTGGTGTTTTTTATGATTTTGTCCTTTATAAAGTTATAAAACCACATAGTGACCAAATACATTCCTTCTTTTGAACAGCCCAGGGTTACTGCCTACAAACTGGATTTTAATTTCTAAGAGAGAATGAGATAATTTCCTTCCCCTAGAGTCCTTTTAAGATCCATTCTGCCTACACTGATCCAATTCTAGCTGTCCCATATTCTAGCCAAAACCCAGTATCTTGCAAGAGAACATTAGCAAAGCATATCATATGGACTATTTAAAGAGGAATACCTAAATGCCAACCATGCTTTTATCTTGTTTGGTACAATTCCATCTTTGAAAAAAACTTTCAGCTTTTACTTGTTATTCTGCTGAACTGGCCAAGTAGGCCTCAAAAGGAGACACAATCTAATTATCTCTTAACATTTTCCTTACACCAAGTTGTAAAATTACTCTCTTTTCTAGCCATCTGTCATAATTAAGGCTAATAATTGACAAAGACAAACACCTGCCACATCCTAAATATAGACTAACCATTTCCTTACACTGAAGAAGCAGTTATTTCCGGTGTTGATCTTTAGTGGTATCAGGCAAAATGGGCTGAGAGGACTTACCATAGCAGAGAAGAAACAAAAGGGAAAGGGGACTAGATCATTATGGCAATTAACTGACTGACAAAAATCAAGGCTGAAATAGGCTTCTGAAAAATTCAATCACCCATAGACTAAAATTAAACTTTTTCTTACAAGATACTTGGACTGCTGCTACTTTTAAAAAGCTTATTAAGTCATCATAATGAAGTGAAACTACACCTCAAAGAAAATTATTATTCTATTATTCATAACTTCAAAACTGTTTTGATTTTACCTCAATGTCTTTGTCACTGATGAACCAGTTTACACCATCTTCTCCTACAAAACAAATAAAATGTTACTAGATCTTGACACCTTTAAAGCACTTGATTGACAATAAATTATTCAATCTGTCAGTATTGAAATTGAACCCCAAAGGTGTAGTGAGAAATGTGAACCCCTTAACATCTTATCTTGACACCGTCATTATTTGTGTGGCTCTGAACAAATAGTTAACCTCTCTTAATCTCAGTTTCCTTACCTGTGAAATGGGAATAATAGTATTTTCCCTGTATACCTAAAAAATATTGTGCGAATCAAGTGAGATACGTGAAAATGCTTTAAAAACCATCAAACTATAAACAAATATATATATATATATATATATATATATATATATATCACTGAAGGGACCAAAAACCCAACAGCAGGTGCAGAGAGAAATCTTATCTGAACTTCCCTTATCTGACTAAAAGCCTGCTTTGTGAGTCAGCTGCCACAGCCCCTCTCCCCAACCCAGAAGTCTCTAGTCAGGAAAGTCACTGACCTTGGGTACCAGGACATTCCCCCAAAACTGTGTAAACAAGCACATCAAAACCTTCTATCAGGGCTTCCCTGGTGGCGCAGTGGTTGAGAGTCTGCCTGCCGATACAGGGGAAGCGGGTTCGTGCCCCGGTCTGGGAAGATCCCACATGACGCGGAGCGGCTGGGCCCGTGAGCCATGGCCGCTGAGTCTGAGCGTCCGGAGCCTGTGCTCCGCAACGGGAGAGGCCACAACAGTGAGAGGCCCGTGCGTACCGCAAACAAACAAACAAACAAACAAAAAAACCTTCTATCTTCTGAAGCCCTAAATCCTCCCTTTTGTTAAGTTAGTATACAAACCTTTACCTTTGGCTATTTAGTGAGTTACTCATTACTGAGTGCTTCCACCCTTGGTCTTTTCTCCTGTAACTCTCTCTATTGTCAGTTAACTCGCAGGCCCCCCACCATTCAGACCCAAGTAGGTAGAAGAAAGGTTTTTCCTTCCAATATCAGTATTAACTGTGTCCCTGTGTCCGCCAGCTTCTCACTGTAACATTTTTATAAGGTGGACTCTGAATACTATCTCATGATTAGAGCTAGGAATTTAGCACTGTATTTTACAACATCAAAAATAGTGAAGTAAAAGAGCAAAACAGAAGGCCAAATATCCAGAAGACAGTGACCAACCTAAAAATATAACTGTAAAAACCTACGGGGGTGGGAGCCCTACATTTTTCTTTATCAGCTGTTTTCTTCTCTTTGCACTGCCCCTTTACAAACTTGCAAATGGCTGCTATTCCCTTGGTCCATCCATGGCCAAGGAGGAAGGGACATATGACTAATGCAGAAGTTAAGGTGTCAACAAAGGACTGAAAGATTTTTTCTTCCCCCAAAGCAAAGATTTCCTCCTTCCTCCTATCTACTCTTCTTCTCTATCTCAAAAACACAAATTGAGCTTGACTCTTCTTTGAAAGGAATTTTGAAGAGACATGAAGTAATCTACATTTTCCCAGGCCTACCAGGAGTAAGTGTCTAGAGATACATTTTAAAATAAAATACCTTTACTAAGAAAACCAAGAGGCTGCTTTACAAAAAGACCAATCCATAGGAGAGCAGAGATGCTGTGCTGATGATTATTTCCTTTGTAAAATTCGGAGGCTGCATCCATATACTGAGAGTGGAGAATACATTAAATAGCAGCAGCTTCATCATCACCATCCATGCTATTATTCTTTCATTCAAAGGATTCATCTAAGGAGCATGCTTTGCTGTAACTTTCAAAGCTGCCTTTTGTACCTCCATGTCCTTCATCATTAAAACTCAAAATGACCACTTAAAATCACTTTAATTATAAAACTGGCTTAATATTGTCCTTAAAAAAGGAACTCCCAAACCAAGGAAATGCAAAATAGCAACTGTTACCACCCCCAAACTCCAATAAATTTACACATGAACAGAGTATATTGAAAGAAGGAAAGGTTTACAAGGGAGATCAGCTCCATTTAGATTGTTTTAACATACCCGTGGAATTCAACAATATTCTAGGTTACATACTAACTCCTCCTCGACAAGTTACAGTATATTCTTACTGTAGAAAATTTGTCAGCAAGTACACAAAATAGGCTTCAATTACAAATGAAATCAGATTTCTGGGTGGTAAATGAAGTAAAGACATCACGAGGAAAATATAAGTCAACTCTTGGCCCTACTCATGGTTCAGTTTTGGTTCTACCCTAGCAATAACTGACTCTAATACCTATCCTGTTTGCTCCTTAACTCCAAATCCCAACCTAATGAAAGCTTTGTCTAAGAGCAACTCATTACAACTTCCACCGGCAGCCAATTCTCCACTTTGCTCAATTTCTGGTAAGGGACTTGTCAGAAATGTGGGCTCCAGACTTAACCCTATCTCTTATTTGCTGTGTGGCGTCGGGCAGGTTATTTACCCTCTCTGGGTCTGTTTAGTAATGGGTTGGATAAAGTGGTATCCATGGTATCTTCTAGCACTAAGTTTCTGTGATTCTATCAAATTTTCATTCATTACTGGAATCAAATACATTGTTACTTAGCCTACATTACCTAAATCCTCCAGGTCTTTGCAACCAACACAGAGTGTCTTGCCTTAAAGACAACTTCCCACAGGGCCTGGGAGCACCCATCTTCTATGTGTGTACCAGCCAATGCCACAGAACATAAAATGGGATTGCCCTAAAGTGTAAAATTAGGACTGCCCTGAAGATGCCTAATATCAACTCTTACCTGCTTTATAGCCTTGTCTTGCTAAGATCCAGGACTATGATTCTTTTCAGACTTTAGAACTGTAATCAAAACAATAACTGATAACTCTCTTTGCATTAAATTAGCTGTTTAACAAACATGTATTGAAAGGTTACAATAAGCAAGGTGCTATAGGGTAAACAAAACTGGTAAGAGCTTATAACTTAGGCAAACACAAAAAGATAAAAAGAAAAGGAGTAGGAGAGAACCAAACAAGATACTATGGTAAATTCAGAGGAAGAGCAGATATCTGAATTTAGGGAGAAAGGGGAAAAAAGTCACAGAAGGCTGTGCCATAAAAGAAAACTGTACTGAGGTATAATTTACATATTATAAAATATACCCACGTAAAAAATACAGTATGATGCATTTTGACAAACATACACACCTGTGTAACCACCACAAAAATCAAATGTAGAACATTTCCATCATCCCAAAACGTCACCTTGAGCATATTTGCAATCAGTCCCCCACCCGAGGCAACCACTGATTTGCTTTCGCTCACGAAAGATTCATTTTGCCTGCTCTAGGACTGCATATAAATAGAATCATACATTATGTACCATTTTGTATATGGCTTCTTTCACTCTGAATATTTGTGAAAGTCATCATTCATGTTGTTAGGTAGTAGTAGTTTGTTCCTTTCTTACTGCTGAGCAGTATTCCACTGTGTGGCTACAAAAATTTGTTTAGCTGTTCAACTCCTGAAGAACATTTAGGTTGTTTCCAGTTTTTTACAATTATAAATAAAGCAGCAATAAACATTCTAGTGAGACTCTTTCTTCTTACTTGACATAAGTTTTCATTTCCCTTGGGAAAATAGCTAGGAGTAGAATTATTAGATATGGTAAGTATGTCTTTACCTTCATATGAAACTGGCAAATTTTCCCAAAGTGATTGTATCATTTTACACTCTTATCAGCATTGTATGAGAGTCCCAGCTAGCTTCATAATCTCACCAATACTTGGAATTTCAGTTATTTATTTAAAAAAATTTTATTGATGTATAGCTGATTTACAACACTGTGTTAATTTCTGCTGTACAGCAAGGTGAATCAGACATAAATATATAGCCACTCTTTTTTAGATTCTTTTCCCATATAGGTCATTACAGAGTATTGCGTAGAGTTCCCTGTGCTATACAGTAGGTCCTTATTATCTATTTTATATATAGTAGTGTGTATATGTCAATCCCAATCTCCCAATTTATCCCTCCCCCCCCTTCCCTCTTGGTAACCATAAGTTTGTTTTCTATATCTGTGACTCTATTTCCATTTTGTAAATAAGTTCGTTTGTACCATATTTTTAGATTCCACATATAAGTGATACCATATGATATTTGTCTTCTCTGTCTGCCTTACTTTACTCTGTATGATAATCTCTAGGTCTATCCATGTCACTGCAAATGGTATTATTTCATTCTTTTTTATGGCTGAGTAATATTCCATTGTATATACATACCATATCTTCTTTATCGATTCATCTGTTGATGGACATTCAGGTTGCTTCCATGTCTTGGCTATTGTAAACAGTGTTGCCATGAAGACTGGGGTGCATATGTTCTTTCGAATTATGGTTTTCTCTGGATATATGCCCAGGAGTAGGATAGCTGGATCACATGGTAGTTCTATTTCTAGTTTTTTTAAGGAATGTCCATACTGGTTGTACCAAGTTTGGAATTGTCAGTCTTTTAAATTTTAACCTTAGAATGGGTGTGAAGTAGTATTCATTATGATTTTAATGGGCATTACTCTGATGAATACAGTGAATAAAGCCAGTTTTATTGCCTCCTTTCCAATCTGTATGCCTTTTCCTTCTTTTTCCTACCTCACTGCCTTATGCAGGACTTACATTATGATACTCAATATTAGTGGTGACAGCAGATAATCTTTGCTTTGTTCCCAATTTTAGGGAAAAAAATTCAGATTTTCACAATTAAGTATACTGTTTGCTGTAGATTTTTCATAACAGGTTGAGGAAATTCCTTTCTATTCCTAGTTTCCTGAGTTTTTAATATGAATGTGTGTTGAATTTTATCAAGTGCCTTTTCTCTATCAACTGAGATAGCCCATGGTTTTTCCTCTCTCTCTTAATACAGTGAATTACAGTGATTTCATTTTCAAATGTTAAACCAACCTTGTATTCTGTGATTAACTCCACTTGGTTAGGATGTATTATTCTTTAGAATATGCTGCAGAATTCAACTTGCTTTTATTAAGAATTTTTACATCTGTGTTCATGAACGATATTGGCTTATACTT